GAGCAGAGGAGGGCAGGGGCTGGGCAGGTACGGGGCAAGTCTCTGTACAAAGCCCTGGCTCCACCCAACATTGCCCCCAACCTCAGCGTCCATGAATGCCAGCTGCTCCCGGAGGCCTGGTGCTATCACTCCTCTGCAGGCTTCCTTGGCTCTAAGCCCTTCCACTCCCGGAGCTTGGTGACTCACTCCAGGCCCCCTCCCTATCTTTCACTTTCACCCAGCACCCAGAAGGGGAGGAACTTCCTCCTCCATTTCCTCCTTCAGCTCCAGGCCCAGAAGTTGGTAAGAGGGAAAGCTTCCCGGCTTGCACCCCCTTTATCTGCATATGTGGAAGTTGCGAAGAGGGAGAGAGACCAGACAAGGAGAGCATCTAAGGCCCCCTGGCCCCCCAGCACGAGGAGGAAGATCTGGACAAGCAGAGAGCACTGAGGGCCATAGGAATAACCTTTTAAACAAACCCCTTTATTTTGCTTTTAAGCTCTCATTCCCTGACAGCCAACCCAGTTCAGATTAGAAACCCAAAAGCCAGCTCCCAGACTGAACCCAGGGCACCACCAGGAAGTTGTATGGTGGAGGGCTGTCCCTGGCTGCAGAAGCCCAGCTCTCTGCCTCTCCACAGGGGCATCAAGCAGACTAAATTAGAAGTCTGTGCCTGCAGCTTCAAGAGAGACAGAGGAAGGAAGAATGTGCTGGAGGGGAGGGGGCAGAGGGGCAGCCTGGCAGGTCCATGTGCCTCCAGAGGGCTGAGGGCCCCTCAGTTGCTCATCGGCATGCGTGCCATCCTCGTCCCTAACAGAGTACACAGACACTTCCCCCCATCACAGTCCTGTCGCCATGTGAGCCACAGCACGGGCTTGGGCCCTGGAAGAAGGGAAGGCCCACGTGGTGGGCCAGCCTGGGTGCGCATGCACATGGGTGTGCACATGGTGTTAGGCACTGGGACAGGGACAGCTGCTCAGAACCTGCCTCCAAGGGCGGGGCTCTGCCAGATTTGGGGAGGGTGATGGGAGGTTCTGCAAAGGAGGATCCCAGACAGGGCTGCAGGACCTGCTCACTGGCAGAGTGCACTCAGCTCATTGGCCTCCCACTCTCATATCAAAGAGGGCCATCATTCCGGGCCCCATCGCAGGCTCTCCAAAGCTGGAGCAGGGACTTGCTTAGAAGAAATTAAGGGGAGCAGTATTGGAGAAGCTGAATCACCCAGAAGCTGCCTGCTACCAAGGGTCCCCTGTCACCCCCACTGGAGGACCGAGAGTGCCAGGGGCATGGACATCCAGGCCTGGGACCCTCCCCTCTGCTCAAGCAAGCACTGACCATCGTTTGGGGAGTGGGGAGAAGAGTGGAAGTTGCCAAGGAACCCGGGAGGAAGGGGGAGGGGGCACCCAGGTAGCAGGGCACAAATAATAGCAGTAATAGTAATAATAAAAATAATGATGACAATAATTGATAATAA